CCTGGATTCACTGCTCCTGGATAACCAACTCAAACTGAGTTTCATGGATAGGCTGAGGGCAAGGTGAGTAAGGCGTGGGGAAGAAAAGGCTCAATAAGCACAAAGAGAGGCAACCAGGAAAGTTTTGTTTTGTTTTGTTTTGTTTTTTAAGCTAGGTACCTCAACTCCCTTTCCTAAGTAAGTCATAAATATTCTCATAGGAGCCAAAGGAAAAAGTGCACCAAGAAAATGCCCAAGCCCTGGTGGATCTATTCTCCCCGCACCCTCCCTTTTTTTTTTTTTAACATCCCACCATCTCCCTGTGACACTAAAGAGAAAAGGTAAGCCCCAGACACAGATGTTTTAGCTTTATTCTCTGCTTGCTTTTACCCACAGAGATGACAAACCCTACCAGTAAGGAAAATTTCCTGTCCTTGAGGGCCCCATTCCTAGAGGCTTGAGCCATATCATGGAACTGGAGTATCTTATGTTGAAAGAACACAAGGAGGCCAAGGTTTTGATGGGGCCATACCAGGGGATGGAGCCCACAATGGGATGAACCTGAGGTGGCCAGGATGTCTGCCTCTAAGCTTAACTCACTCATCTGCTCAGCTACCAAATAAACATTTTCTAGGTGGGCCAAAAGAGGAATTGACTCCCAACCCCTACTACAACCACAGAACCAGATCAGTCTTCAAGGAGGAAAGACTAGGGGGAGTTGAACAAGATGTGTAGCAAACTGGAACACCTCACACTTTCAAGTCTCTATCCTTCTCTTTCTCCTGTTCTCATTTCCTATGTGTGCTAAAAAACTAAAAAGACTTCCCAATTTCTGGCAGCATCCCTTTTGAAAGGTGAGTAAAGTGAGTGTCCTCTGTGCCCCTTTTCTCTACTTTTGCACCAAGTATAATCGATGGACTTCCAGTGACTACAATGGCAAAACCAGTGCAAAGCTTAAATTCCGGTTTCCTTTCTAATACTGGCAATTCTCCCTCCCTATCAGGCTAACACGACCATCCCTCGGTCAAGGGCCCAGTTACCCATGCTTGTATGTATCTTCTTTTTTGGGTGGCCGCTTGGTGCCCAGATAGTAGGTAGAGAAGGGGGTTGGCATTTCTAAGTGGTTTGTCTGCCATAAAAATGGTTTGCTGATCTGGTTAGCCACTGCTGCCCTGTCAGTGGTTTTATAAAAGGGTCAGTGAGAACCAGGCCCTGCTGTCACTTCTGGTCATCAGTAGCACTGCTGAAGGCAGGTAGTCCCTTTGGCTCAATAAACCTAGAAACTTTTGGGGGGGGGGGTGGTGTCCTCCTCTTACGGGAGTCAGGCTCTCAGACCCTGCAGCAATGTTGGAATTTCTTCCAACAGATGCAAACACCTAGCTCCTGAACTCCAGCCTCAAGTTTTCTGTAGCCTCAGTTAACACCCTGGACACCTGCTTCCCCACTGAATAACTTTCTTTTGTAACCAGAGCCATACAAGGTCCTTAGGCACCTTCGAAGCAGTAGGAAAAAGTATATATCCTGTTGACTTCTTTATTCTGACATCTTGAAACTGAGTGCCCACAGAGCAACCTCAAATTCCACTGATTCAATGTTGTTATAATGCTTTAAGCATCTCCTTTTTACTATTGTTTAGTGTACCGACTTCCCTGTGTCCTGCCAGGGAGCTCCTCAGTTACAATATCGGGGTCACCTGTGACTTAGACATATTAGATGTTTTTTAATAGCCCTATTATGATATCATTCACAAACCATACAATTGGGTCATCGAAAATATAAAACTCCGTGGATTTCGGTATATTCACAGAATTGTGCAGCCATCACCATAATGAATTTTAGAAGAGACACATGTTAGATTTTATATGGGAAGGGCATTTAGCTCTTAAACAAAGGCAATAGTGGTTTGCTACTGGGGGAGGAAGTGTGGGCTCTGGAGACAAAATACTTAAATCCCATTTGGTTACCTAAAGTTCTAGAAGACACAAGTAATTCTCATCACGTAGGCATCACCTGATTCGGCTGGGAAAACAAACATTGTGGTGTGTTCAAGGACTGGGAGATTTCTTATGCCAATACAACTTTTTTTTTTTTTTTTGGTCTGACTCTACATTAAAGATAAGACTGACTATATTTATACAACAGAGACTTTGTAACGGATTTTTCAGCTTTGTGAAACCAAATTTTTGTCTCATCAGGACTGCTTGGATTTCCTTTTTATTCTGTATTCCAAGAGTTTATAGTTTGTTAGGGGATGGCTATTGCATGTCATATTTTTTCCTTTCCTTTTCCTTTTTTTTTTTTTTTTTGTGAAATAAAAACATATGTTTCAAGTTGTTTTTCCTCTAACATGGGTTGGGTGGCCAGATGGGTGAGTGAGAAATGGAAGTGTTCTTGAAGCTTAAACTGAAGATGCGGAGAGGCGCCTGGGTGGGTCAGTTGGTTAAGCATCTGACTTTGGCTCAGGTCATGATCTCACGATTCATGGGTTCAAGCCCCACGTCAGGCTGTGTGCCGACAGCTCAGAGCCTGGAGCCTGCTTCGGATTCCATGTCTACTCCTCTCTCTCTGACCCTCCCCTGCTCACACTCTCTCTCTCTTAAAAAATAAATTAAATAAATAAACAAACAAACTGAAGATGAGGATGATTCTGGAACCCTGCAGTGACAGAAATGAGCATGCTTCAGAACAATAGGGACCTATCCTAGAAAGGCTCTCACCACCTGTTCAGGAATCAGCAACCAAAGCCTGTTTCCACGGTAATAAAACGCATCTAATGATGCCTTCACTCCCCAAATTGGGTGAGGATCAAAGGGAGAACACGTAAAGCACTTAGCATGTCCCCTCCCTTCCTTTCCAGTTCAGTTTTCTCTCTGGTGACACTGAGGCCAGTCACAGAACAACATATGTATGAAGACAAAATTCGTTGCTTTGGGTGTGGCATGGATTCTTACAGAGCAGATATGGACAAAATCCTAGAAGACATCAGGACCTACCATTTCCAGTAGTAGCTGGATTTTCCTGCTTTAGTGCTTTCCTTCACTCTAGTTGAGGGCACTTAACCCCCCAAAAAGATTTCCCTCAGCTGGTACTTTCCGTCAGACTGAGTTGTACCTGGTTGTACTGATGGTTAAATATTTAACTATCACCCCTGCTTATAAGCATAAAGTCTAAACTAGAGGCAGGTACTATCCCCATTATAATAGATGAAGAAACTGTGTCTCCAACAGAGTTACTAATGTGGCGTGTAAATCCCTAACAGCCTACCTGTCCCTTTCTGTCCACATTGCTTCTACTCTAACCACACAACTTTTAACTGCCCCTTACTTATAAGCTCTTTCATGCCTCCCTGTCTTGGCCTATGCCTCTGCCTTCACCCCTTCCTTTTAACCTGCTAGACCCCCACCCAGCCTTCAAAATTGCCCCACTGTGAAACTTTCCCTAGCTCACCCACTGAGGACTTCATGGTGAAGAAACAATGACATGGGAATACCACAGTTAACTTACATGAATTCAACCATATATTGTGTAGTATTCCAATGCAGCAAACAACAGACATGACCAAGCTTGAAAGTGTGTGGGGGGAAATATGTGAATGATTTTAAGGGTTTCCCAATCACTGACAAAGAAGTGAAACAGGTGACTAGGCAAGAAGATGCTAACGACTTGGTCTAAACCTTAAGACAATTGAGAACCACAGAGCAACAATGCCTTATTGAAGAGACAGAAAAACTGACGTAGGGTTGCATGTACAAGTGTTTATGGATAATTCAAGAGCTATTCAAGGAGAATTTAGGAAATAAACGAACTCCATTTTAGTGCTGAGGTTAACAATTCCACATAAAATGTAATACCCTAAACCACACAGTGTGGTAGGAGAATGGACACCTCATTCCAATTCTGAGGGAGAGGTGGGATCAAAGTTGTCCCCCCCCCACCCCCCATCCTGGCAGCTTTTCCTGACCCATGTTATTTTTAGATGGTTCCTCCTTCATTGTCCAAGGATGGCAACATGAACTTCCTTTGTTACTGTGTTTCTCTGATAGAAGGGAGTGGGCAGCCTCAAGCTGGAGTTAGGGTTGTCAGTTTCTACTGAAACAGTATGATAAATGTCACTGGACTGTGGGAACCTAGAAAGGTGGGTGCTGCACCAGTCTGGGGGGCAGGGGTGAATAGTATATCAGAGACAACTTCCTGGAGGAATAAGGAATTAGCCAGTTTGGAGGAACATGGAAGGGAAGGGGAGTTCTAGCTAGAAGCACGTTGCACAAAGGCTCAGAGATGAGAACGGGGAGCTACAAGTAGGTCAGCATGGGGAATGTGAGGGGGAAATGCCAAGAGACAAGGGGAACATTTTAGAGAAGTCGGTAGAGGGCAGATCATGAAGGGCTTTGACACCTATGCTTGGACATTCTCGTGAGGGCAACAGATAGTCGCTGAAGGTTTCTAGAAGGGGAGTGAGAGGGTAGGGCTTGCATGTCCAACACTGAGAAATCCTCCTCCAGATCTGAGACGAAAAGAGGAGCTAAAACAAGGCCCAGGAGAGCCCTCCTACGTTAGCCAGCACCGAACTGATAAAAACAGGGTGGCACCCACGGCTGGGGTGCCCACCCTCTTTTCTTGCTCCCTCCCTGCAGGTACTCATGCCCTCTAGGCTCCCCACTAGCTGCCCAGGACCCCCAAGGCCATATCTCAGCTAGGACTCTACTTCCTGAACCTACCACAAGCTTCTAACCGCTCAGCCTACTCCCTGTAACTCACTCACCCAGCAAGGATATAATAAGCACTTACCAGGGGCGCCTGGGTAGCGCAGTCGGTTAAGCGTCCGACTTCAGCCAGGTCACAATCTCGCGGTCCGTGAGTTCGAGCCCCACGTCGGGCTCTGGGCTGATGGCTCAGAGCCTGGAGCCTGCTTCCGATTCTGTGTCTCCCTCTCTCTCTGCCCCTCCCCCGTTCATGCTCTGTCTCTCTCTGTCCCAAAAATAAATAAATAAACGTTGAAAAAAAAAAAAATAAGCACTTACCACGTGTAAGGCATTGCGCTGGGTTCCGTGGAGATAAAGATGCACTAAAGGGTCTCTACCCTATAAGAAAAAAAAAAACAACAGCACATTTTCTAGTCAAGTACCTCAAGGCTCTGTTTTCTGCTAAAGAATGCTAACACACTCTATCTTAGAGTCTTACCAATATTCAGGTTTTGTCTCTACTGCTTCATTTCCTTGGGCCTTAGTGTTCTTACATAGAAGATAAAGGGGTTGGCCTAGCTATTTTCCAGCTGAGGGGTCCCTGAACCCCTGAGTCCTCAGATGCAGCACCCAATAGCTATTCTCAGTGTTAAAGCTTAACAGAAACCACACATCCATAAGTAGTATGGCTTCACATCATCACTCCATAACTAAAGTATCATGTTGATTTGTTTTTGCATTAGCTTCTGGCAGTATAGTAACACTGGTTATTTCCTGCTGATCAGAAATTCTAATAGCCGCTGCATATATCTGATTAGTATGAAGGGAGAGTGAATTTTTAAAAATCATGTTTTTTAGACAAACATTTCAAAACAGGGGGGACAAGGTGATGAAAAGGTTAGGAATTATTAGGCTAGCAGTTAGCTAAGATTCACCTCCAGCTTTAAAAATGCTATGATTCTAAGCTGATGAAATATGCTATTATGTTAATGTGTTATATTTATCAGGTAACAGCATTTTAAAGGAAGATGGCTGTGATATAACAATAAGACTAATGGTGAAAATTCCTAAGGAAATTTGAAGAGGACAGAATTTTTTTTTAAATTAAGCTTATTTATTTCAAGAGAGACAGAGAGAGCAAGTGAGGGGCAGAGAGAGAGGGAGAGAAAGAATGCCAAGCAGGCTCCACACTATCAACACAGAGCCCAAAGTGGGGCTCAAACTCATGAACCATGAGATCATGACCTGAGCCGAAACCAAGAGTCAGAGGTTTAACTGGCTAAGCTACCCAGGCACCCCTGAAGAAGAGAGAATTTTAAGGTCATCCTTCCAATTATACTGATTGGATTGGCCCAATGGACCTCCTCCCCGAGGCCTGAGCCCCAGTGCAGGCTTAGGAATGCCCATCACCATCCTGAAACTTAGTAAACAAAACAACACACTTTGGCAGTGACTTCACTGACATAGAAGCAGTCAGCCCCTATCAGACCTTGCCCTCAGAAGGTTTCAGGGAATCTAACACTTGGATGACTGTTTTCTTACATGTTTTCTTCAGAGACTGCAGGTTCCTACCTGTCCTTTACACTGGTTTTGAATCTAGCATACTAGGCAAACTGAACCTAGAGAGGCAAACCCAGACAACCCTCTTATTCAAGCCTCCCTCCAGATCTCTACTTGTCAGCTTCACCACTGTCTTTAGCCCTACACTGTATCTAAGTTGGCTTGGCAGACACTTACTGGGAAGCAGTGAGAGCAATGCCATATCCTCATCACAGAAGCCCATGCACATGCCATAAGACCAAGGAGGTCTTAGCATAGTCAGCTGGTGGGGCATTGGGGCAGTGGGGCTCTAAAGTCTCTGTAGAGGATGGGGTGAACAGACCGTCTATTCCCAAATCCTCCAAATAATCTCTTGTTACCAGGAGGGCTTTTTGATAACTTTGGCTCCAATCAGCAACCACCATATTTCACTGTAAAGGCCTTTACATTATTAAAATGAAAATATGGTGAAATCTTTGTTCAAGGACCCAATATGTGACTTCAACACCTTGTACTGCCTTATCTGCTAAATACTTTCCTCTTCGTTAGAGTCTCTTCATGTCTCTCAACTATTTCAACTGCACTTTTCCAATCCTGTGATCCTAAAGGTTGGTAACAGGACAATATGGTTTACTCAATAATCCGGTTAGGAAAGGCATCCTAGCAGGAAAACAGGAATCTCCTGTTACCAACCTTCAGGACTTTAACATGAGACTAAAACAGAGACTAAAATATGTAACCATAGTCTTGTCACAAGATGGAGAAGAGAACAGAAATTCAGGGAGACGGTCCAGTCTTAGGAACCATCCTTGCAAGACAAAAACTGGCATCTATTGGAAGCTCCAGCTTCCGGAAGCCAGAGACCATATTGGCAGGCCTCTGCCTACACTGAGATATGCCCTTTAACATGAGGAAACTGAGGCACTCGCTTTTATGGGACAACCAGAGACCCTACAATCAGCGCTGGGACAGACAGGGACAAAGCCCATGAACCAGACCGGACCTGCGCACGACCTGAAAAGCCCACGCCCAAACACTCCACCTTCCTATCCGCGGCCCAGTCTCCGACACAGCTTCTTCCGGCCGAGAGGGGGCGCCTGCGCCCTCCGGCCGCGCCTGCGCGGGGAGGGCGGGTCAGCGCGCCGGCGCAGTGCGGCGGTCAGTGGCTGCGGTGATACGTTCTTCACGTCCCATAGTGTGGCCCGAGAGCAGGAAAGATGGTGCTGGATCTGGATTTGTTTCGGGTAGATAAAGGAGGGGACCCAGCCCTCATCCGAGAGACGCAGGAGAAGCGCTTCAAGGACCCGGGACTAGTAGATCAGCTGGTGAAGGCAGACGGCGAGTGGCGACGATGTAAGTACCAGGACGCTCAGGGTGTCCCACGGTTCTAATACCAACTTCATCTCTCTGATCTCGTTACCGCTCCTGAGACCACAGCTTCTGCCCCTCGTCAGTCCCCTCCCTGGTTGCGGTGACTCCGAGGCTCTCACTATCCCCTAAAACGCACGGGGCGAGCCGGGACCGTCCCACCATTTCCCTCCGCCCGGGTGGTGGGAGCTGCCTTCCATGCGTGCTCTGTGCGGCTCTCTGGTAGTCTGGGGAGGAGCATGGCGCGTGCGCATCAAGAGCTGTCAAGCCTTCCTGCGGCAAGGGTAGCCAGAAGAAAGCTAGAGCGGGAGGTTTGGGGTGGGAGGGTCCCCTTTCCTAACACCTGTCTTTGGTCGCTTTAGGTCCCTTTCTCATCTTCCGTAAGCCCCGAGTGGTGTCCCTCTAATTTGATAAGATCTAAGGCTCCAGCCTGAGACTGAGTCACGGTTGCAGCGTAATAGTTTCAGTCCACCCATATTGGAAGTATTTTGAGACTTAGGCAGCCGCTCCTGGCTAAAAACAAAGATTTCCGAGCTTTGGGGAAGGTCATCCCTCTGATCTGCAGGCATACCTGTAAGAATCGAGGAAAGACTTTTCCGTAGTTGACCGGACATGGGGAGAGAAGCGAGGTGAGGCAAGAACAAGCTTGTAACTATTAAGGCTGTTTAATTGTGATATGTGCAAGTTTTCCGGAAAAGACGTTAGCAGAGTTGGTCTAGAACCTGGAACTGATCCGGGCATCTTTCGTGAAGCTAAATAAAACCAGAGAACCCTCTGCCTATCAACCTCTGCCTGGATTAACTGGAGTAGTCACTGATTGGCTGGAAGCTGTCAAGCACATGTGACTCTTTTTTTTTTTTTTTTTTTTTTTTTGTCTGATGCAATAGGTCTGCAACCAGCTGAGGGCCAGGTTTTATGACAGCAAGCTGCAAAGGCACTTGCTATCCAAAAATGTGGTGGATTTCTATTAGGAAAATTGATTTTCCTAAATTTATCAGGGTATAGGGTAGGAAAAGAGTATTTGATTAATTCCTGTTGTCTGCTAATTCTGTAGTCTCATTCATTCTAATGTGGTATTTGACTGTGAGATCCCACCACTGATTCACATGTAAATCTGAATTTTTAAGTTGCAATGGAATTAAATGGAAGAAAAAAACTAGACTGGACACTTTTACTGAATCAGAAGTCAGACGTATCAGATTTTGTGTCAGCCGTTAAAGACTTTAAATGTGTTAGTCTCTTGTCTATAACATGCACATCCACATGAAATTCTGTCCCTTACATGATGAGTGGATATGTGGTAAAGGGATGAGTTCTTTGGGGACAAGGTTGTTTTATTCACCTGTATGTCCTAGTAGCTAGGGTATACATATACATACAGGATATACATATACACATGTATACATTTAATCCCAGTACCTAGCACTGTACCTGGTTCTTAGCAAGGGTTTGACAAAGGTTTATTGAATTCACAAATAGTTTCTTTGTTCAGGCCACTATGCCCTTCTGTATGAAAAACAGTTTATGTCGTTTATTTTCAACATACCTGTTGATTTGATTGTTTTCTACCCGACATCCCTTCCTAATACTTTCTTTGCAGCCAAAAGTTCATGATGTTTCCCAAGTCACTGGCTGCCCAAGTCGGACATCAACAGATCTTACATTGAGGTTCTTTTACGTCTGAACCTCAGATCAGAGGTTGGGGTTCTTTTGTTATTGGCTGCAACAAGGACTTGTAACCCAGAGCCACATTAAAAACTCAGATCATGTTCCCTGAATGAGGACACAGCAGGCTTCACAAGTATACCTATTTGTCTGCCTGTAGACTTGCAAGACTTGCCACGAGGGCTTTGTGTGGAACATAGATGTCTGATACAACTTGGAGTCATAGTGTCACATCAGAGTTGACCACAACTCTTCTAACTCCAAGGATTCAAACTACGATTTCTTCTTTTTAATAAAGAGTAATATGGCAAGGACACATTTGGACATCTGATGAGCATTTGTCTCGACTATTTCCAAAGCAACTATATTTCAGTGTATCTTGAAATCTGCTACTAATTACAGGAATTCTATCTAGCCTGTGCACTCCTGCACGAGATTTCTCATTACCAACTGTTGAAGTTATTTCCACTTAACCCTACTGCACATGCCTTAAGCCAGGTCCTTCTCATTGGGAGAACTTTCTAACTGCTTTCAGCTTCACCCCAGAGTCACCTAGTGCAGGGCCACATCCAGAACATGTAATCTTTTTGTAGTTTAAATCTAATCATTTTACATCCAGATTTAAGTCTTGCAGTGACATTCTTACCTTAAAGCAGCGCTGTCTGATGGAAATATAATGTGAGCCACATGTGTGATTGTAAATTTTCTGGTAGTCACTTAAAAAGGGAAAGAAAAACAAGAAATTAAAATTTTTTAAAATTTTATTTTGGAGAGAGAGTGTGCGCAAACAGGGAAGAGGAGCAGTGGGGAAAGAGAGAATCTTAAGCAGACTCCACACTCAGCACGGAGCCGGGCACAGGGCTCCATCCCATGACCCTGGGATCGTGACCTGAGCCAAAATCAAGAATTGGTCACTCAACCGAGCCATCCAGGTGCCCTAGGAAATTAATTTTAGCAAGATATTAAATTATCCAATATATAAAAAATTAATGTTCAACATGTGATCAGTATAAAAACTGAGATATTTTATATCCTTTTTCTTTTTCACAAGTCTTCAGAATCCGATGTATATTTTACATGTACAGTATATCTCAATTTGGGCTTGCCATGTTTCGTATCCTCAGTAGCCTCAGGTAGCTAGCGGCTACCATATCAGACAGTGTTGCCCTAAAGCATAAAAATGCAAATTACTTAACATAATTTACAAAGCTCCACATGTCTTCCTAGCCTCATCTTCTGTCACTCTCCAACATATGCCCTCCACTCTTTGTTCTAGCCTTGTTATGCTACCTGTATGCTCTTTCACACACCTGTGATTGTTGCCTCTTCTTGGAACACTCCTTACCAGGCTGTGCCCCCACTTCCATCAGCCCTCTTTACTAAACCAACTCTGTTCCCATAGCACTACCTCATTTGTTGAGTGTTCTCTGTATCTCATGTATCTTGTTGTGGCGTTTATACTATTTTGATATACAACCTTTCTAAGCTTATTTTTATTGAGATGTAATATATTCAGTAAAGTATGCAAATTTTAATGTGCAGCTTAATAGGTTTTATAAATCTGTATACCTGTGTAACCACCATCCAGATCAAGATCAAAGACATTTGCAGCATCCCAGCAGTCTCTCTCGTGCCCCTTCCAAAAATACCAGTATTCTGCCCTCTGTCACCATAAATTAATTTTGCCTGATTTTGGACTTAATATAAATGGGTTTACATAGCATATACACTTTTGTATGTGCCTTCTTTCTCTCAAAAGTATGCCTATAAGATTGTTCCATCTTTTCATGTGGAGCAGTGGTTGGTTCTTTTTCATTGTTGTACAGTACTCCCTTATGTAAATATACCAATCATCATATAAATACTCCAATCAGTTCTACTGATGGCCATTTGGATTACTACCGATTTAAGGGTGTTATGAATAAGGTGCTATGAACATTGTTTTGTGTGTCTCTTGGTAGACATAAGCACTCATTTCTGTTAGGTATAAGCCCCGGAGTAGAGTTGCTGAATCATGAGGTAGGGACATGTTTAGAGATAGTAGATATTACCAAATAGTTATCCAAAGTAGTCATAGCAGTGAACACTCCCACTAGCAAAAGAAGAGTTCTAGTTGTTCTACATTCTTGCCCTTAGTATTGGCAGTCTTTTTAATTTTAGCCATTCTGGTGGATTTGTAGTGGTATCTCATTGTGGTTTTAATATGAATTTTCCTGATGACTAAAGATATTGAGCACCTGTTCATAAACCTCTTAGTACTTGGATAGCCTATCTTAAGAAGTGTCTGTTCAAGGATGTTGACCAATTATTATTTGTTTGTCTTTTTCTTATTGATTTGTAGGAATTCTTTATCCATTCTGGATATAAGACCTTGTCAGATGTATGTATTGCACATATTTTCTCCCAGTTTGTGACTTGCCTCTCACTCTTTCAGTCATTTAATGAATAGAAATTAATTTTTATGAAGTCTAGTTTATTGATCTCTTCTTTATAGTTTATGCTTCCTGTGTTCTTTTTAGGAAGTCTTTTCATATCCCAAGTTCCTGAAGAGTTTCTCCAATATTTTTTCTAGAAGTTGTATTACCTTGCCTTTCACATTTAGATGGATGATTCATCTCACATTGGTTTTGGTGTATGATGTGAGATAGAGATCAAGTTCATTTTTCCCATGCAGCAAGCTAGGAATAGAAGGAACTACTTTAATCTGATAATAGGTATTTATCAAAAAGCCTATAGCTAATGTTCTTAATGATGAAGTACTGAATGCTTCTCCCCTGAGGTTGGGAACAAGACAAAGATATCTGCTATCACCACTTCTAATCCACATCATGCTAGAGGTTCTAGACAAGGCAAGAAAAAGAAATAAAGGATTGGAATAGAATGTGATGACAGATGGTAACTAGATTTACTGTGGTAATCATTTTGCAGTGTATACAAGTATCAAATCATTATGTTGTACATGTAACTAATGTAAGATATGTCAATTATACCTCAGTAAAAAAGAGAATTAAAGTGGTCATTTTTTGCAGATAACTTGATTGTGTATGCAGCATCTAAACTATTAGAATTAAATTTAGCAAGATCACTGTATGTAATGTACAGAATCAATGATATTTCTTTTTTTTTTAATTTTTAAAAACATTTTTTATGTTGGGGTGCCTGGCTCAGTCAGCTGAGCGTTGGACTTCGGCT